GCACTATATATATATATATATATATATATTGAAATTTTATACTAATAAAATTCACAATATTTACATTTCTCTAAATTTGTTTCATTATTATTTCCGACTTGAATCCACATTATAAAGCATCTAAAAAAATGGCATAAAAGAAAGATTATACGTACTAATGTGAGTGAATATGCACAATAAGCACTTAAATCAAAGTATCACTTAATTAACTCAAACTTTCATAATCCCTAATAACTCAATTTATAAACTAGAATGCACAAATTTACAATGGTGCTAAATAAAAAATAAAGCCACACAACTGAGTGATAGAAATATTGAGAACATTAAGATAAATTAATTTTACCATTCCAACTTATGTTATTAAAGCACTAAACACTAATGCATAATACAAAAAAATATAGATATGTTGATATAATAACTTATAAGCTAAAAGTGTGAGTGTAGACATTTTAAGCATGATGAATATGATTTACTCAATTCATGAACATTAGGAGATTAGTTCATGAATCAACCTATAATTAAGTACATATATTAATAATATAAACTAAGCTTATAGCAACAAGCAACTTCATCCACACTTAAGAATGCCCTTGCTTAGAGTATTGCTACACAACATCCTTATGAATAAATTAAACTCCTTCTCCATAATTGCAGAGTAGCCTTACATCCATTGTATTCTTGTATATCCAAGAAATATAATCAAAACATCTTAGACAATGGTTGATGAGAGTTAAAGTCCTTTCCAAAGCTCAATAAAACATTTGTGGTATGCAAGGAAAAATCTAATTAAAAAATTATGAACAATACATGTTTTCGATTCTATAATATATAATATAAACATTATAACAAACTGTACAATTTATGGAGAGAGAGATATTACCAAAGAATAGAATGAAGGAGCTTCCTTCAATGAACGCTAGATTTCATCTTATTAAAACTTATTAATTATGAAGAGTAAAAAGTAATCATAAATTTCTTAATTTATTTCACATTCCATCTTATACTTTTAAACAAAAGAAGACAATAGAAAGTTATAGGTAAAGCAAAGAAAAATAAATAAAAATAAAGGTTAACTTTAATTACAATGCCAACATATGTTATTAAAGCACTAAACACTAAAGCAAAATACTCAAGCTATGGATATATATGTTGATATAAGAACTTGTAAGCTAAAGTGTGAGTATAGACATTTTAAGAATGGTAATTAAATATGATTTACTCAATTCAAGAGCATTAGTTTATTAATTCATTAACTAACATAAAATCAAGTACGTAAAAATATCCATAAAATAAACTAGGTAAGGAGCAACATATAACTTCATCCACAGTTAAGCATGCTCAAGCTTAGAATTTCGCTACACAACCTTCTTATGAACCAAAATCCTTCTTCATAATTGTAAAGTGGCCTTACATATATTCTGTTCTTGTATATACAAGAAATATAATCAAAACACCATAGACAATGGTCCATATAATTAGAGGACTCCCCAAAATTTCCATAAAACCTTTTTGATATGCTAAACTGAATTCAATTAAGAAATTATGAGCAATCCATATATATCTGTTGGATTATGTAAAATATAATATAAACATCACAACAAATTATTCAATTAATGGAGGGAGATATATCACCAAAGAGTAGAATGAAGGAGATTCCTTCAATGAACGCTTGATTTCCTCTCCTTAAGCCTAGTAATTGTGAAGAGTTAAAACTAATCATAATATTCTTAATTTATAATCCTTAAAACCTAATAAAAACAAAATTTGATTATTTTCTCACGAGAAAATAGATCGTCGAGAATGTAAAGATTGTAAGGTCATGCAAAGTGAAAATTTAACTGCTCAACATCGATTATTAATTCCGAGTTTTAGGATAAGGAGTTGTAATATAAAAAATACAACGAAACATTGTCATATAATTAGACTAAGGAAACTAAAAGATTCAAATACAATTATTTTTACGAGTAAACTTTAAGATTTCAAGATTTGGGATATTCATGAAGAAGCTAAATCTATGTGAGATAAAATAACAAATATTATTAAATTAATGACAAAAGATACACTTGGAAAACTAGGATGAATAGTTTTTGCAAATAAACATAGTTGGTAATGGAAAAATAATGCGCAATAAAAGATAAAATATAATAAATTGTGTTATACAAAATTGTTTAAATATAAAAACTTAGAAAACTGGGAAAAGTATAAGGTGACCTCTAGGGAGTCCAAGAGAACAATTAGTGACGTTGAAATATATATATATATATATATATATATATATGAACTAGGAAACAAGGATAAAAGAAAAGTGAAGATTTAACTCAAATAAGATAAGATATATTAAAGATGAAAATCCATCGAGCCGCTTTAATGTGTTTGCTCTCAAAGTTGTGAAGAAGAGCTTACTCTTGAGGGCGTCATAACTTTTAAACAAACATACAGACAACTCGAACGACGTGAGGTGGTCCTTAGGATCTGACCGTCCTTTATATAACTTTAAGACCAACATTTTGAACTTCTCCTAAGTTTTAACTCCAGAGACATGTAGTGAGAATGTATTTTCTGGTTGTCTTTGTTTCTCGATTCAAACTGTTCGATTTCTTTCCTCCCCCAGATCTGGCGCTGTCTTCGTGTAGACCATCGCCGGACTTTCCTTTAAGTGGATCACCATCCTTCCATTGTTGGCTGGTGGTTCCTCTTTAGGTTGTTTGTGTGCTCCTTGTTGTGCTAGCTCTTCTTCTGGAATTGAGGCCGTTGCGACCGCCCTAAATACTTCTGTGAATTGTCCTAACATCTGGTTGGTAATCTGAGTTCTCAAATCTTGCAAGCCTTATTGAACGAATTCTTCCATAAACTCTCAGGTGCATGTTGCTTCTCCTACGTTCCTCTGACATGACTCTCCCTATTGTTTTTGCTGGGCTCTCCTTCTTGTTGACGACATATTTCCACACTCACCACATCTTAAATGATGTTGAATTCAAAAGTGTATGGGAAACACATCTAAGGAATAGAACGATTTGCTTGGAAATGATGAGAGAGAGAGAGCACTATAAGAAACAATAAAAGAGCTTATTTTTTATTCACATGGACCCCTATATATAGACATGGTCCAAGCATTACAAAAATACATATTAGCCCATCATTATTAACTTATCAGGAATATTTTTTGGTAATTACAGAGTTATTCGTATGTAATAAAACTAGAGACTGATTCAATCGATGAGAGTTGTCGATCGTCTAATAAGCTGTGGCTCGATCAATATCTAGTCCTAAAGAGTGTTCCATGTCTATCGTTCTGAAAGCTGATTACTGCTTTGCGGAAGCTTATCCTTCCGCCTTCCGCTGAATGTTTGAACAAGTTGCTTCTCTTGTCAATATTCAACCAAAAAACGATCGTTAAAGGCTATGTTCGATCAACCGCACCTTCTTCATCAATCGTTCATCTGCCTTGAGATTTGTGCCGACATATTTTTATGTGTACGAATCTATTCATCAAATATTTGCAAACTTATAATAAATCTATATCATTAATTGCATATCTTCCTCATATTATCTTGATTTTCTTCTTTGTGTGTGTATTTATATATTTGCATAGCACTCAAATTTTAATGTCACATAAAACAAATTGTTTTTCCATTTTTAAAATAATAAATACGTATTTTTATGCATAAATTTATACATCAAAATATTATAAATATAAAAAATAAGTTTAGATAGTGTAAATATATAAAATTGCGGAGTACTCGTGTAAACTTTATTTTATTTTTTTTAAAATATGAGTGCCTATTTCTAAAATAGGTGCATTTACTCGGCGGTAAAACCCCTTCCGCCAGAACGTAGTCAACGCCCCTACAATTTGACTAAAAAATACAGTTTCACTAATAAATCGGCTGACTGCACATCTCCACGCCATTGTTGACGATCTCAACCTTGACATTGTCCATTTCGTCGACTCTTCAATCCCAACCGTCCGCTTCCATCATCAAATCCTGAGACGTCAAACACTTCCCCTATCCACTATTTAAACTCCTCCCAGCACTCAGAATTCTCCCACAGCAAGCTCATCCCTTCTTCTTAAACCTTAAATACTTTCTACATAAACTTTCTAATTAATTCCATGGCTTCTCAGGCAATCGAAAGCCACAGGGAGGGCGCCGAGGTCTTCAAGGGAGATGAAATCTGCAGGAAGAAGTCGATTGAGTTGCTCGAAGAGCTCTGCCTTCCAAAGGGTCTGTTCCCCTTGGAGGACATTGAGGAATTCGGCTATAACCGTGCTTCTGGCTTCATATGGCTGATTCAGAGGAAGAAGAAGGATCATGTCTTCAAGCAAATCAAGAGAGCAGTGTCTTATGCTCCGGAGGTGACTGCCTTCGTTGAGAAGTATAAGTTGAAGAAGTTGACTGGTGTTAAGACGAAGGAGCTCTTGTTATGGCTCTCTGTTGTGGAGGTCTATTTGGAGACTCCCACTTCTGAGAAACTCACCTTCAAAACTGGAACAGGGCTCTCTGATAGCTTTATTGCTTCTGCTTTTGAGCTGTAGAGTTATCTGCATGAAGAGAAGGCAGACATAACTATATTGCATTTGTTATGAATTATGCTATTACATGGTCTTTTTTTTTCTTTCTGTTTTTCAGGTGCACTTCATCAGATCTGTATGATTGTAACATGATGCTTCTTAATGAAATATTATTTTGCCTGCTAATCTGATATAGAATTCTTGGCTGCAATGTTGTCATATCGACGCTGAGCCCCTCAATCTGATTAAGTAAAATGGTCCAAGCATTTAAATAAGAAGAATGCTTGATGCAACTTAAGAAAAATGGAGAACATTACCAATTTGACTTTCAACGTCTATTTGAGGAAGGCTGTCCAGCATCTTCGAGTAAACTGCCAATGCTAAAATTCTTTAAGAAGGTTTTTTTATACATTTATTTATATTATTATTATTATTATTATTATTATTATTTGAATTTTTTATTATTATGATTTTGGAATAGTTATACGTATTAGTTCACCTAAAATGCGAAGAGAAACTTATAAAACACCATGTAGTTGAGTGAACGCAAAACTTGAGAACTTAAGCCTCAAGGAGCTTACTTGTCTAGTTGATCTATGATCTACATGAAAAGTTGGAATAAGCTTGTTGTATAAACAAATACCGATACACAAAAAAAAAAAATCTTAATATGGTTGAATCGAACCAATTTCTCGAAGTGTATGAATCGAGCCCCATCTGTCAAAGTGGGTGAAACGAGCTCAACTGCCGAAATAGCTGACTCAAGCTCACGTGAAGAAGACAATTAAAACTTATTTCTACGAAGGTAGTAATTCAAGGAAGTCGTAATGACAAACCAAAACATCTATGCATTTCTCATTTTTAAGAATATTGTCAGTGGGGATTCATTCCCATTGTTCAAACATTCGGGATGGTCACCATACCGACAATATCTGACATTAGCCGACAATACCTCATAATTATGGCGTCGGTCAGAGAAAAGTTAACAATATAGTTCTTGATATCCTACTTTGTCAATTTATATTATTTTTTATCTAATGTATGAGAGGGCCAATAAGAAGAAAGAGTGGGAGCTCCATATGTCTCTCTCTCACTTCTTTCTTCCCTCCTCATCTCCCTTTCCTAGAGGACTCCAGAGCTTTTTCCCGAGAGCTCACTTTCTCTTGCACTGGGGCTCTTCCTCTGAAAAACTCACTGATATGGGATCTTTCTCATCTCACTCTCTCATTATAACACCCTTCCATCTCACTTTTTGCCAAGGATTTGTGAGTTTAAGCTTTGATAAATTTGCATAATGACTAATTACCAAGATCAATAATAATTAATTGCTATTTAATTTTGAGGATGGTAAAGAAATTAGTGGCCGAATAAATAGTTGAATAGGAGATTCTTCTAAGCTTGGGTTCCTCTCCCTCATGAATATTCTTAGTTGGTTTGTTCATTGAATGCATATGAAACTTTTTTTTCTTGCAAATCATATAAAAAAAATCATCAATTTTACAGCATACACAATAATATTATAGCCTTTTGAGGCAGATATACTCGTCACAAATAATTCAAAGAAATTTGAGGGATGATTTTGAAAATCCCATGCAAAATAGCAGTTGCAAAAAATTTTGATCATAAATTTGAATGTGTTAAAATTGGTTAATCAAACATGTTCTAAGAAATTCGGATGACAAACACTTATTAATCTTGTTTGTTTTGTTTAGTGTTGGTATGGTTTAAGTTTGATGTCTTGCCAATCCAACTTATTTGGTTTGTATGATAATTGAATTATTAGGTTAGTCATATATACATATATATTGTAGGTATTGCCATGGAGTATTTTAAAGATCAATCTCTTATTATGGTCGCTTAATCACACAATTCATACACATTGTCTATTCTTCACTTCTTTTGCAACTCAAAGCACTTTTGGTCAATGCATCTAAACTCTAAATTCCTCACCATCCTCACTTATTTTCTTTGGACTACGATGCCATATTCTAATCAACAATTAGTGGCGGCATCCTCCTTTAATGAAAAAAAAAAATCTAAAATTTTCTTAATGTTTCTCATTAGACTACAAATCTCTAGTTGAGTTGTTCATATATTTAGATTAAGGGTCTGTTTGGGGCAGCTGCAGCTTATCCAACTTATTTAGATAAACAACTTATCCTGATAATCTATTGATCAGTAGTTGATCCAGATAAGTTGTCTTGCTGATTGGTTTGAACGTTAGAAAAACAACTGATTTGCAGTTGTTTGTGGATAAATGATCATTCTGCCCCTGAATTGAATAAGCTGTTAAGATGTGTGATTTCTACGGTTTGAGAATTAATTGCACACAATTCAACGATAATTTTCCTAGCCAAATAGCGCTATAACTAATCCAAGAAAGAAAAAAACAAGTTGCGAATGAAAATTCTAACCTAACAGTAGTCTGGCAATACTACTCTAAAATGACGGGAAAATGGAGGAAATCTAAGAGTCTGTAAATTCTGATGGTGAAGTGGGAAAATGTTTGGGGATGGCTACAACTGAAGGATACCGCAGAGCTCGAGATTCGACCTCCACATGAAGGAAACAATCAAATAGGCGAAGAGATCTATTTGTAGGCGTCGAATAGGCGTCAGCAATACGCTACCCGAACTAGAGTGTGTCGACGAGGAGAACCGTAAACCCTAGATTGTCCTTCTCGTGGAGCATAGCAGTCTCTTCTACATTCCAGCAAATCCAACGCCTCTTTCCTGCTCTCTCGGACACCGTCCTTATCGCTAGCCGTGGAAGTGGCTGATGCTGTTGAGCGCATACTTATCGGCCTCTTCCTATTGCGCGATAGCTCATCTTCCTCCGTCCGGAGAAGGGCACGGGAGGTATTTCCCGATCAAACGCAGCCCCTGGAAGCGGG